ACACTCATCGAGAACAATATACTGGCCTCATACGGCTTCGGGCTCCTCTCCAGTTGGGTCTATCTCCGTTTCTACCAGCGGCACAGTAGAGGCCGTGGAGACATGTCTGACCACTTTGCCTTCGCCACTTTCTTCCCCGAGATCCTGCAGCCCATGGTGAGTGTCGTAGCCAACCTGGTGCACGGCATCCTGGTGAAGGTGAAGGTCTGCCGCAAGACGGTCAAACGCTACGACGTGGGTGCCCCGTCGTCCATCACTATCAGCTTGCCAGGGACGGACCCACAGGATGCCGAGAGGAGAAGGTACCACTTGTACTGCTTCCATGGGGATCGTGTCTATGGGCAGCAAAGGTTAGGTTTAAAATCCAAATGAGGAGGGGTGGGAAGAGATATGAGTGCAGAGTGTGCTAAGGGAGGGACCTTCTCCTGGGGGTCTTGTGGGCAGGGAGCGTTTTGAGGAGCCAGTGAGACATTTTCCTGCTCTTCCAAATGCAGAGCAGCAGGGGAGGAGCAGGGAGGTCCTGGGGAAGGTGCGGGTGGGGTTCAGGGTCCCTGCAGGAGGAAGGGGAACAGCAGCTGCCTGGGGAGATGTCAGGCCTCCTGCTCAGGGCAGCCCCACACCCGTCACCCTGGCTTGGGTAAAGGCAGTGAGTCAGCCCAGTGCCCCAGCCCTCCCGCATGCCCGGCACTGACCTTCCCAACTCCCAGCAGGAAGGTTTGGGCAAGGCGTTGACATCCTGCTTTCCCCTGCCCTGTTTTACTTATTTCTTCCCCTGTTCCTGGAGTGGCCCACTGGCTGCCTAACAGCCTCTCAGTGCACCATGTGGCACAAAAAACTCTGTATATGTGATCTAGGAGTTCAAGCAGGTTTCTCTGGGGCAGTCTCAGGCATTCCAGGTCATCTGCAGCATGACTGAATCCAGCCTCCCCTGCCCGGAAAAAGCTGGGGATGGGCTCGCATTGTGCCCCATGGGGCAGAGCTCTTAAGCCCTGCCCTACACCCATCAGACCTGAGCTTAACCCGCCCATCTGCCCTTGTCCTGCAGGCAGCTGGCCCTGAAGGCCCTGAACGAGCGGCTCAAGCGCGTGGAGGACCAGTCAGCCTGGCCTAGCATGGAGGACGATGAGGAGGAAGCAGCGGCAAAGGCTGATAGCTCACTGTTGCCCGACCCCAGTGTGGCTGGGAAGGGCACCAGCCAGGAGTCCAACCTCATCACCTTCCAGGATGCCCCATCTCAGCAGTGACAAGCCGACACGCTGCCCCCCTTCCCCACCCCATCTCCATCGGAGAGCTGCTAACCCCCTTGGTGTGTCCCTCCCACAGCTGGGACACTTGGTGTGGAGCGGGGACTCCTCCCACAGCAGAGGCAGGGGGCTACCTCATTCCAGTGCTTCATTGCCAGCACCAGGTACCCAGGACGATGCTGCTGCCACCACCACGAGGATGGGGGTTCCTGGAGCTGCTCCCTTCGGCGCAAGGCAGGCCGTGTACATCAGC